TTTTTTTTTTTTTTTTTTTTTACTTTATATTTGCTCTAGTTTTATCTGAATTGAATGAAATGGTTGTTGAGCTTTGCTCAGAAAATTGTGGGGTATCAATATCATCCATGAGTCCAAGGATTTCATTCTCACATGACTTCTCCCAATCAGATGTCATTCCAGTTGAGAAGCACCCTTTGAGATCAAACTCATCTGGCTTGAATCCAAGCATTGATTTTGACTTCTGTGTTCATGAAAGCTTAGAGCTTGAGTCCTCTTCAGCAGATGAACTTTTCTCAGATGGGGTTATCCTCCCCATTCAAATCAAGAAGAAGAACATCAACAATGCTCTTTTGAAGCAAAAGAGTCAAAAACAAGCACCACCACCTAAACCTCAATCACCACCCTCACACACTGTTTGTGAAAATGCCTCTTCCACCAGCAAAGGCTCCAAGAAAGAGGGTCCCAAACATGGCAAGGACTTGAATGAAGAAGTGGATGAGAAGCAAAGTTCCAAGTCATTTTGGAGATTCAAGAGAAGTAGCAGTTGTGGAAGTGGATATGGAAGGAGCTTGTGCCCTTTGCCACTTTTGTCTAGAAGCAATTCAACTGGATCTTCACCAAGTGTTAAGAGGATACCACTGTCAAAGGAGGGTCATCATCATGTTAAGCAAAATTCCCAGAAACGTTCTTCCATCACAAGGTCTTCCAACTCCGTGGCTTCACACAATCATCAAAAGCCTCCATTGAAGAGGAGTCATGGGTCTTATCATGCTAATGGTGTTAGAGTTAGTCCTGTTCTCAATGTTCCTTCTGCAAACCTTTTTGGTTTTGGCTCAATCTTCTCCAACAATAGAGATAAGAGCAAGAAGAAATAGTTTACAAAAGAAAAAAAAAAAGTTCTATGCTAATTTACAATTTTACTAATTTGCAAATGAGTGGTTTCTATCCTTTTTTTTTTACTTCCCTGGTTTACCATGTGATTAGGAAAATTTGATGTAGCCTATATAGGTTAAAGTTTTCAAAGGTAAATGAAATGGTTTGCATCAAGAAGACAAAGTGATAAGAAAAGAAAAAAAAAAAAAAGATGTGTGTGTGAATGGGATGGACAAGCAATGACATAATTCAGGCACATGATTTGGGGGCACAAAATGTCAGGTAAATGTTGCTTTCATGGCTGTCCCTTGCTAGTGTTTTTTTCCTCTCTCTGCTTTTGTTCTTTGGTCACACAAAGTGTGAATACATTGATAATTGATTTAACTTTGTGTCCCTCTATTTTTCTTTTTCTTCTGGTTCCCTCCAATTCTGCATGAACATAAGATTAAATGGAGAAATTGATGGTACAATTATTAATGTTTCTCTTCTGCTTTTGGTTGTTATTGTCCAACATGGATTAGTTATTAATAATAAATGTTTTCAGACATATATATATTTAAAGCCTAAACATAGAACCAATTGAATATAAATATAGAATAGCATATTGGGTCATTGTACTGAATACAATAATGGTATGCAGGGTGTTTCTTTTTTGTTGATTTGTTTGCCCCCCTCTTTGCTTAGTGGTTGCTATTTGTTCTGGTGATCAACTTGAAGGTGACATGACTTTGATTATGATCAGTGGCCCATGGTTTTTCAAGAACCATCTCCTTCTATTCAAAGTTTTTCAACCTGATACTGTTTCTGAAATGGATTTTTCCCCTACCCGTTTTTGGTTGCAATTTTAGCCACTTTGGAATAAATCAAATAATGATAAAGTCCGGTACTAGTGGTAAAATTAAAGATGAAATTGATGTCTCAAGGCCTCTGAAAAGATAAGCAAACATGGATATGGTCTTGGTTGAACATCTAATATTGAAAAAGCTTCCCAACTTGAGTTTATGATTGCGTGTATTTTCACAAATTTTGTTTAAACGAAGATGAATGGTTAAAATTACAATAAGACATACTTTGTGTGCGCTACACGGAGATTAGTTATTGCATAATGAAATAAAATAAAAAAGAAAATCATTAGGAAGGGCAAAATTTTAACATATGATTAAAAAAAGATGCAAAAGATATTAAGCATAGTTTTAAAAACCGGACCGGTTATCGAACCGATTAAGGTACTGGGTCAGTGAGTCAAAGGTTGAACCGGTGGGTCACTAGTTGAACCGCATGACTCGATTTTTATTTATTTTTATTGAAAAATATTCATATTAAATATATTTTATACTTATAAATTTTAATAAATTCATATCTTATTTTAAATTTCAATTTTTCTATCTTATTTAAAATTATTTTTATTTTTATTTTGTAAAAAAATACATAAAAAAATTACATGTTAAACGGTATATTAATACAAATTAAAAATATAAATAATATGTACATATATAATATGCTTGCAATTAATATCACAAAATAATATATGTAATATTTACATAGATATTATATTATTAAATATATAATTTAAAATTAATAATATACTATAAAAGTTATTTAAGTTGTATATATTATAAACAAATACATTAGAACAAGTAGTCATTGTTATATTTAATAAGAATCTTTGTTCTTCCATTAAGAGATTCAATTTTCATTATTATTTTTGTGGTTTATGGTCCCTTAAAATTTTTTTAAAAAATAATAATAAAAAAAGTGGTTGAACTGGTTTGACCCACCGATTCACCGGTTGAACCGAAAAATTGACTGGTTCAATCCGGTTTAAAATAGGTCGACTGCATAATCGATCTAACTTAAGATTCAGACCAGTTGGACCACCGATTCCGGGCCCAACCGGCCGGTTCGATCCGAGTTTTTAAACACTAATATTAAGACATGATCATAGAATTTGTAACATTAAACTTTAAATGCTAAAATACTTAAAAAATTGAATTTTCTATGAGTAAATGTAAAGATAGGAAGCACAAAGTTAAAAAAAAAATGTATGTGACATTCTCAATCCTTTCAATTGTGGGATATTCCACAAGTCACAAAGAAATGAGCTTAATTATTTAAATTTAAATATTATAAAAGATAAATTGTATATTTTTTATGTGTAGGATACTAACCTAATTTTAGTTTTAGAGTAATAATTCCTTATATTCATATATTTGGGTTCGTTTTTTATTATTTTTTATAATAGATATTTTGTATTAAGAGGATATGAGCAACACACTCTTTAACACATTCTTTTTATTGAAAACTATAAAATCAGGAAATAAGGATATTAAATAATGTGTGAAATCCATCAAATTTTGTTTTATAATAAAATTCAACTAATATGATAGAATGTGTTTAAAAGAGTGTATTAGAGAGTGTGTTATTAACATTTCTATTCTTACCAATATTATGATTAAAAATAAAAATTATCTTTAACAAATTATGATGTTAAAATTTCAACCACTATCACCACTCAATGTTTAACTTTTTAAAAGTGCACCTCTTACTTCAAATAAACTACAAGAAATTGTTTAGCTTTGGACAAGCTACCAAGCGAATTGGACCCCAACCATCACAATTAGCACTAGTGCTCCCAAGTAGTTGTCAACTTTATTTAAAGCCAATCTATGGTTCCCATGGAAATAGAGGGACACACATCAATCTAAGTTGTTTGAAAACGAAATTACATCTTGGTTGAAGGACCCAAGGAAGAAGGCTAAATGAACATGTGGAAAATATAAGTTTAGCTAGTTTAGAGTGAATTGTTGGAGTATGCACTATGGTCAGCTTAGTGGGGGGAGATTTAGGTACTTTGCATGAGTTGTTATCCTAAAAAACATAAAAGTAATTTCCTTTGGAGATTTCTCAATATATATAATTAATGGAGTAGCAATGTTTTTTATGCATATGAATTTCAATTTGGACGTTAGTATCTTTCAATTTAGAATTTTCTACATATTATTTCAATTTTCATTACTAAACTTCATTATTAGACTAATTTAAGTAATTTTCATCCGTTTGAGAAAACATAAGTGATTGTGAGAACTTTGAAGAGTAAGATTTCCATCAAACAATCATCCAAAATTGAAATATTTTAAACCATTATTATTGGGTGAAATTGTGAGATCGAGAAGGCTTCCTATATTAAAAGGAAAAAAAAAAACATTATAATTTTACCTTTAATAGTGGAGAAATTTTGTTTGACATGTAGTTTGTTCTTATGGTGTTATTCTTTTATCCTCACTCTTTCTACATTTATTCAATGTTCATTTCATGTGCAAGCTCATCGAACAAGGTTGGTTGCCAAATGGAATGAAACTTTTACTCAAGAAAGTCAAAAGCCCAATGTGAATACTGGTCATACCTACTATAATTAACAGACGATGTAAACAAATTACATAAAAATTAAATACTTATAAAAATTATTATGCTTGATAATATGTGATAAGATGACTGAAAGAAATATTTATAGTCTCAGTGCATTCAAATTATAAAGTAATTAAAAAGAAGAAAACTTTCATACAAAACTTGTTAATAATGTGAATTCTTCTAAGTCTCACTCCTTTTAATAAATTTTATATCGAATGTTATTCTTATATAGTTTGTAGATCTCTCATAAATTTATTAAGTAGCATAAAGAGAGAGAGAAAAAACCTTAAATTGAAAGTGTAAAAGTTTAAAATAATTATCTTCATTTAGAACTATCATATATATATATATATAGAGAGGAGGGTTCAGTGTAACTTTTACTAAGTATTATACCATTTCAATAATTTTATATTAAATGTGAATTTTATAAAAATTCAACCGTTAGATTGAAAGTTCTTTACTCTTAGGTCATATATACAAAATTTTATATTAATCCAAGAAGATTTAATACTTCATTATTATAAAACAAAATTAACATAATATATACATTTCAAAATATAACAAAATATGAACACTTTGATTAGTTTCAAATTGTTGTTCAGTTTTAACAAAATATGATATAAATATATAAAGTTATATGAATTTTTAATCTAACGGTTGGATTTACAAAATTCACATTTAATATAAAGTTATTGAACAGTGTAATACTTAGTAAAAGTTACACTAGTATCATTTGAATCCTCCTCTTAAAATAATAATGATCTTTAATTAATTTATCATGTAAAATTTCTTTAGATTGACATGATATGATCATTAAACCGTAACAAATTTCTTTTTTTATTTATTAGTTTAGCCTGTTATTTTTTTTATGGTCAAGTATTATTTTCAAATTAATTTCAATCTAAGAAAAGTCTTGTTTGAACAAAGCAAATCATTACTTTCAGTACAAATAAGAATCAATACAGGGTACGTGTTCGGAAATTTTATACTTAAACTTGTTGTAACTACAAATATTTTATCTGGTTTATATTGCCTTTTGCTTACAAAATATTTCATATTCTTTTCATTTTTCTTTAATATATTCTAAGTAATAAAAGAAATTATAAAACTTATTTTCCTTATATTTTCTTCCACTATCCAAACCACAGCAGATGAAAACTGGGTGGTCCAAGTTTGTCCTTCAAGTTGCTAGACCTCTTAATTAACAGTCAAAGATAAAAGTCAAGTCATACCAAGATTTGAATCATTCACAGTCAATTGTCAAACAAAGGAAAATAAATTAATACAATCAGTACAACGAATACATCTTCATAGTCAAATACCCATAAAAATCAGTATAAAAAAATATCCATAAAATATTCAGTCAATTAATAATGCGTCACCCACATTCTTTTTTTATCTTCTCATTTTTTTCTCTTTCTATTTCTTGTCCATTTCCTATAATTTAAGATTATAAATAACTATATTAAATGTATAAAAATATTTATACACCAAAAATTATAATAAAATAGAAAAGAAATAGAAAACAAGAAATGGAGAGAATATCCTAATTGTTTTTTCTAAAAATTAATAGTTAATTTGATCCTTAGAAATGAGAATGTTGTCATATTAATTCTTGAAACTAATAAACTATTGAATAAGTCTGTGTAATGTTAAACATGTTTTTAAGAATTTAATTATTTATTATCCTTTTAATTCTTTTGAAATTTTAGATTAATGTAATTATCAATTTATACTTTGAAAACTTAATATTTTTTCTAATTTAGGAACTAATATACCGTTTACTCTTTTCGAAAGCATTGATTTACTAGTGAAAGAGTTAACGAATTAAACTGCTAGTTTTGTAAAATAAAAAAGAAAAAAAAAATCATTTTATAGGGATAAAATGGAATCAGGCATGGTGGTTGTAGTAGACTGATTTTTCTTTCCGATACTTCCAACTTTGTGGAGAAATGTTAGTAATATATTTTTTATTAGTTAAAATTTATTAAAACGTAAAAAATATGAATTTCACATCTTATGCAATAAAATATCTCTAGTGTTTTTATAATTTTCAATTAATTTT